AGGTTCAACATATCCCGATCAGAACTTCACAAGGCTGCACTCCAGCCTGGACGACACAGTGAGACTCCGTCTCAAAAAAAAAAAAAAAAAAAACATTGTACCATGCCTCTTCTCCATCTGGAAGTTTCCTGTTTGACACAGGGTATCTAGGAGGGGCGGAGAAGACATGGATAGTACAGGAAGACATTAATCCTAGCATTGTCATTTATGTACATTAATGAAATCCTGATGAGGACCTGCTTTTTGTTTGTTTTCCTTTGAAACCCAGCCCTATTGTATTTGTATTTAAAATTTGTACACATTTGTATAATAATCTGTACCTTGTGGTATTTGGTACTATTAGAGGAAAAACTTTGGATTCAGACCTTCTTGCAGTTTTTATATCATTGTTTTATTTTGTTTTTTAAATAAATTCTAGTGGTTTGATCCAAATCCCATTACAGTTGTATAAAGAAATAAAATTTTGTACTTATATTATTAAAAATCACATTTTTAATATTTGTAGTCCAGTCTCAGCTGTCTTTTCCCTAATCATGATAATCATAGTTGCTATTAAATTATGAAACCTGTTTTTCACTTTATTCTACCATTATTTTCTTAAGAAAAAAATCAACCCACAATGGAGATTAAATTTCTAATCTTAGCCATTTTCCTAATATACTCCTTACTCTGTTTCTATTAATTTTAACATTGTAGAGGCTCTCATTTTCTCTTTTGCAAACTGCAAATGTAGTGAATCTGATAACGGCACCTTCATTTATTGGCAAACAAAACTATGTGCATTATGGTGTTGGCCTAAATCAAGAAAATGTTCGTTCATCTTATATAAGGGTTGCATCTGAATCATGTGCTAAATGATATGTTTCAGTACTGTCCTGGCTTAGTCAGTAATGCTATTGATAAGTTACTTAATCTTGATAGGCTTCCAAAGTCCCATCTATAGAACAGTGTTAAAGTCACTTCCCTGTCTCTAGACCTGCAGCCAGCCAGCCTGACATGAATGTTTTAATAATATGAACATTGGATATATGGAGATAAGACCTTTCAAGGTAAAAATTTCAGTGCAAGCACAAGGTGTTAAAAGTCATAAATAGTGAAATAATATGATTAATTAAAAGGCTAATGTCTTATGGAAAGGCAGCAAGGAAGAGACCACCGTATCACTGACTGACTGTTAGAGAGAGTGATTTGCATACCTGGTCTCACTCATCCCCCCACAAAGCCTTATGAATATTATCTCCCTTTATAGATGCGAAAATGTACTTTTCCCAGGAAGGTTTATACTGCTAGTAAATGGCAAAGGCAGAATAAGAACAGTGGAACAGGTGACCTCAAACGCTAGGCTCTTTTCTACCCCAAGCTACTTTCAGATTTAAATCGTGCATATAATTCATCAGAATGCTTTCCATTATCTCAAGTCCTGAGCAAATGTGATTGTAGGAATGCCATCTGAGATCTTTGCATTGTTCAGCTATCTAGCTGGCTTTCACTCTTGTCATACTATTGTCTTTAAATTTTGAAGGCAAGGTATCTTGATTTTTGTCTGTAAGTGCTTAAAGGATTTAATAGATTACATTTATGCAGACTGTCAGTCTTAAGAAATTTGAACATTTTAACCCTCAGTAAGGCATATTAATATTACTAAAACTCTTGAAAAAGTAAATTGAAACACTTTTTACTAAATGAGTTTGCTCCTTATTAGCACACTTCTTTTTTAAGACAGTTTTAATCAGTTTTGTACTAACTTAATGTTTGCCATTTATATCCCTATCTACTGTGTTGATAAAATCCATATACTGGCCAGAGGCAGAGGCTCATGTCTGTAATCCCAGCACTTCGGGAGACTTAAGTCAGGAGGATCGTTTGTGGCCAGGAGTTCGAGACCAGCCTGGGGAATACAGCAAAACCCCACCTGTACAAAAACTAAAAGATATTAGCCAGGCATGGTGGCATGCATCTGTAGTCCCACCTACTCGAGAGACTGAAGTGGGAGAACACTTGAGCCCAGGAGATCGGGGCTACAGTGAGCTGCAATTGCACTGCTGTACTCCAGCCTGGGTGACAGAGAGTATGTCTTTAAAAATAAATAAATAAATCCATATAGTCCCATTTCTGTTTGAATAGCTATATAGTAAACATTTTGCATGGAGTTGTTTTTGTTTTTTGTTTTTTTGAGACGGAGTCTCGCTCTGTGGCCCAGGCTGGAGTGCAGTGGCATGATCTCAGCTCACTGCAAGCTCCGCCTCCCCGGTTCAGGCCATTCTCCTGCCTCTGCCTCCGGAGTAACTGGGACTACAGACGCCCGCCACCACGCCTGGCTAATTTTTTCTATTTTTTAGTAGAGACAGGGTTTCACCGTGTTAGCCAGGATAGTCTCAATCTCCTGACCTCGTGATCTGCCCGCCTTGGCCTCCCAGAGTACTGGGATTACAGGTGTGAGCCACCGCGCCTTGCTTAATTTAGGTTTTCTATCATCCAAAATTTGTGCAGTCAATTTACTAGTCTTTCAGATTTAAAAACCACAAACATTACAATAAATACTAAAGCACCCACAGTAGCCAGACTACTAAGGCCATGGTTATTGTATTTTTGGAGTGTCAGAAGAAAAGGTCAGAAGAAAAGGTCATAACCCATAGATAGGTATCTAGTGTGTGGGG